ATAAACGAAAAACAGGATAGCAGGAGATAGCATCTCTCAAGCGATCATAAGTGAAAAGGCCAGGAAGTTGCTCAGGATTTAATTAGAAAAATGCCTGCAACTAGTGTTTAAACGTGAGTGAATTTAAGGCCAGCAAAGGTTGGTTGAGAGATTTAAGAAGCGTAGTGGCATACTAGTGTGATAAGGCATGGTGAGGCTGCCAGTTCGGACCACAAAGCAGCTGAAAAATATGTGCAGGAATTCAAGGAGTCCATAGACAGTGAAGGACTGAAACCTGAACAAGTGTTTGTGACGAAACAGGCCTGTTTTGGAAGAAAAATGCCAAGAAGGACCTACATTACTCAGGAGGAAAAGGAAACTCCCAGGGCATAAGCTACGAAAGACAGGCTTACTCTGTTAATGTGTGCCAATGCTAGGGGTGATTGCAAAGTGAAGCCTTTTATTAGTGTATCACTAAAACTCCGAACGTTCAGGAAAAAGAATATCCTCAAGGCTATTTGTGTGTGCTGTGGAGGGCAAACAGTAAGGCTGGTCACTAGGGACTTTTTCTATGATGGTTACACCAAGCATTTGCCCACAATGTGAAAAATTACCAAAACTGAAAAAAATCAGACCTTAAGTGCCTCCTGGTGTTAGACAATCCCCCTGGTCATTCCTACAGACTTGGCAAGAGGCGACTTTGTGGGGACATGAGCTTCATTAAGGTCAAGTTTTTGCCTCCTATACCACTCCTCTCCTGCAGCCCATGGACCAGCAGGTTTTATTGCAAACTTCAAAAAACTGTACACAAAAGCTCTGTTTGAAAGGTGCTTTGTAGTGACCTCAGAAACTCAATTGACTTAAGAGAGTTTTGGAGAGATCAACTTTAATATCCTCAATTGTGTAAACCTTATAGGTAAGGCTTGGGAGAGGAAGTGACTAGGAGGACCTTGAACTCTGCTTGGAAGAAACTGTAGCCAGATGTGTAGACCAAAGGGATTTTGAAGGATTTGAGGCTAACCCTGGGAATCCTATGCCAGTTGAGGAATCCATTGTGGCATTGGGGAAGTCCTTGGGGTTGGAGGTTAGTGGGGAGATGGGAAGAGTTGGTGGAGGAGGACAATGATGAACTAACCATGTGAGTGATTTAATTCATCTTCAACAGCAAGAAGCCACACCCGAGGGAACCGCCCTTTGGAGGAGGGAGAGAGAAATTGAAGAAATTGCCTACTTCAAAGATAAGGAAATCTGTGCAATGTGGCTTAAAGTGCAAACCTTTATGGATGAAAATCACCCTCGACAGCTGTTGCAAGCCGTGTTGGCAACCCGTCATTGACAGTGTTGTAACCACTTTAGGAAAAGTATAAAGGAATGAGGGGACAGACCTCTATGGACAGATGTTGTGCGACAGAAGTCCATTGAATTGAAGTGGTCCTAGTGGCATTAAAAAAAGAAGGGAAGTAACCCCGGAAAAGGACTTGACACCTCAAGTGTAATGGAAGGGGATTCCCTTCTAAACACAAAACCATCAACACTCTCCCCTTTCCCCCCATCCATTTAATTTATCACCAGATCTTCAATAAAGGTAAGTGTCATTAAATGTGCATGTCTTCTTCAGTTTGTGGTATTAAAATTAAATTTTATGGGGTAAAAAAATTTTTGTTCATACTTTTGGGTGTCAAGGGAAAGGAAATTTTTTGATTTCCATTATTTCTTATGGGGAAAATTAATTCATAAAAAAATTTCGCATAACATTGAGCTTCAGGAACGGATTTTCCCCTTTAATACAAAACCAAGAAGCCACGATTCAGCAGGGCAAAAAAGGGCCAAACCGTTTTTAAAAACATTTTCGGCCCCCAAACAGGGAAATATTAATGGGCAGTTAAATGGTGCGTCATCAAAAATGTGGTCTCCCTTAGGGTTTTAAATGTTTTATTTTATTTTAAATTTTTTGCTTTAATACCCAGGTTTAATTTTTGGGTTTTTTAAAATATTTTAAGGGCCCCTTTTTTTTCAACCTGTTTTATGACACAGGGTACACTACTGGCTTAGTAAGTAAGAGCCAAGGCCTGCTCCTACAAATAACCTAGGAAATTCCAACGGGTTTTACTTTTTCTGGCTTAGTTTTTTTTTACAACGCCCCTGTACCACTGGGATTCCTTACAATACCACGTTTGTGGCTTTAAAAAAATTTTTTTTGTTTCTTGGGTTTTGCCCCTTACACCAACTTATACTACCACCAAGGGGGCTTTCAAAGGCTTTAGAAAAATTTTATGAAAAATGCTTTAAACCAAGCTGGAAAAAGGTAACAGTCTTTTTGGGGGTTAGAATAATTATGTATGACCCCCGAAACCTAGCTATCCTACCCGAAGTACAGCTACTCTTCCATCCGGAAATCGGGTTCCGGCTAACAGTTCCCCGAACCCCCAATCATATTACTTGGGGTAAAAACGCTCACCAAACATGTTCCTTTTCAAATTTTTGCCGCCTCGTACCTGACCCCTGGGTTTCCCACCTTTTTAAACCCCTTTAAGATTTCTGGTAGGTTTCTTTATCACCGGTTGTTATCCCTTGGGGATTTGCCCCCTTTTTGGGAATTATCATAAAAATTGTTTTTAAAATTTATCAACCTATGTAAAACTAAACTTCGATAATAAAACCCCCAAATAGCATGATATCCTGAGCCCCTTCTGGAATGAAATCTTTAGTTACCATATAAAGTGTGTTTTCCTTAATTCTTCTTAAAGGCATTTTTTTATTTATTGTTTTTATAATTAAAATTTTTTGCATAAATTTTTTTATATATCTTTGGTGTAATAAACCCTTAAAAGGTTAAAAATTTTAAAATATTAAATTTTTTTTTAAAATTTCTTAATTTAAACATTTCAAATTTCTGACAAATTTTTATTTTTATTATTATTTATTTATATTTAAAGTTTGTTTTTATCCTGAACTTTTTTCAAAAGGGGAAATCAAAATTTTTTAAAAAAACACACTGCCCATCTTCCACTGCGACACTTTCACCATCATTCACATATACCACGTTTCGTGGCTTATAAGACTTGTTTTAGTTTCAATGGGAGAGCTACAGCCCACCTCACACCCCAAACTTATAGCTCCCATCACTGACCTTCAGTTTATCAAACGCAGGGTAGCTTTTGGAAACATTTTATGAAAAAATGCATCTAACAAGCTGCGAAATACGGTAATCACTGTCTTTGCAGAGGCGTGCAGATATGACAGTTCAGATGTCATCCCAAACAGCAAATATCCCGAATGCCTTCTCTGAAGTATAGGCACTGTACTTCCCACCTCCAGGACTCGGGTCCGGCTAACCAGTTTCCCTGAATCCCGTCACAAAATATTACCTTGCCACTCCAACAGCTCATCAAGTCCCAAAAACCATTCGTCTCCACTTACTATCTAACATGTTCGCACATGCCTGCTGCATATCCATGCCCCATGGACACAAACCTCTTTTACCCCTCCCACCATCGTTTCCTAGGTAGATCCCTACCCCTTCTTCCCTCCACTACAGATTTATATGCCCTTCAAGTCATCCTATTTTGCTCCATCCTCTCTAAATGACCGAACTACCTCAACAACCCCTCCTCAGCCCTCTGAATAATACTTTTAGTAACTCCACATCTCCTAATTTACACACTACAAATTCTCTGCATAATATTTATACCACACATTACACTTAGACATGACATCTCCACTGCCTCGAGCCTCCTTCTCAATGTAACATTTGCAATCCATGCTTCACACCCGTATAAGTGTGTTGATACCAGTATACTCTCATACATTCACTTCCTTGCCTCCATGGCTGTTCTTTATCTACACATACCTCAATGCACTACCCACCTTTTCTTTCCTTCATCAATTCTATGGTCTACCTCAACATTCATAAACCGGTCAGCCAACAAGTCTACTTCCAAAATATCTAAACTCGTTCTTTCTCCCATACTTCCTCCTTCCAATCTGATATCCAAATTTTCATAATCTAAATTATTTGATATCCTCATCACCTTACTCTTATCTATATTCACTTTTAAGTTTCTTCCTTTATGAAGGAACTTGTTTTGTGCACTATGTAAATGCAAATTTTTCTAGGCCTCAAAATTTATTGCTAGTTGCTACTCTGTGCCTAAGCTCAACTGTCTGGGTGTCCTGACACCTTATCACACCTTGAAAAAAATGTAGGGTTAGGCAGATCCAAGCAGTGCATCATGAATGTTAATGACTCAGCAAGATATCTGAAGTGTGACATGCCACCATGCATCAATATAACTTTTTTTATTTAAGCATGTTTACATAATATACACGTTTTTACAAGTCTTGAGGTCACACAAAACGTACGATCATATAAAAAATACATGACAGCATATATATATTTTAACACAGGATAGAATGTGAATTATTTCCAAGCACTGAGAGGTATCACATCTTGAATCAAATGTACTATCATAAGACTTCCTTGCACAGTGTCTTGAGGAAACACACTTTATTCTTTTTTAGCATGTCAGCCATTTCCCACCAAGGCTGGGTGACCAAATAAGAAAGAAATATTTTCACCATCATTCAACACTTTCATCATCATTCACATATAATCACTGCCTTTGCAAGGGCTTGCAGGTACAATAGTTTAGATGTTAATTCAAACAGCAAATATCCCAAACCCCTCCTTTGAAGTGCAAGCACTTTACTCTCCACCTCCAGGACTCAAGTCCAGCTAACTGATTTTCCTGAATCCCTTCACAAAATATTACCCTGCTCATACTCCAACAACTCGTCAAGTCCCAAAAACCATTCGTCTCCTCTCACTCCTATCTAACACACTCACACATGCCTGCTGTATGTCCAAGCCCCTTGCATACAAAACCTCTCGTTTCAGAGACAAAGCCAATCCAATGTACAGTACATGTAACAAAGTTTAGCCCAGGCCAGTATGAAATACATAAAAGCTAAGCACCAATAAAATTTAAAGCATTCTGTTTTAAGGCTCATTAAGAACTTACAGTAATGAGTGCCTGTGCCAGAGCTTCCCTGATGATTGTATGTATTGTGAGAAGTTCAGTTTTGACCAGAGGTGGGATGGGATTACAGCAAGCCAATACCCCCTGCATTTCTTTTGGTAACACCTCAGATATTTGCAGCAACATATGTTTTGGTAGCACAAACCTGTGGGAACATTCAAAAACCTTTTACAGAAGCAAAATTTTATTTTAAATAATTTTATTAGAAAATTTGAAATCACTAATTGAGATATAATCATGAGAAGAAACAGTACATTTCATTTTTTAAATTTACACCAAAATTAACAGTAAATTGGTAACCAAACATAACCATACTAAAATTTACATTGCCTAATACATATGGCAAATTTACCAGATCTGTCTAAATTCACCTAATTTTCACTGTTATAGTTCAGCTTTAGTAAAATTATCCTTGTCAAACAACGGTCAGGTGTAAACCATGGTCTTTGAATGTTGCAGAAAGGAGGATGATGGAAGCAGTGGAAATGATGTAAATATTATGCAGAGAAAAAAGGAATAAAGAAATTATAAGATAGTACTGTAATGTGATTATTATTATTATTATATGTACGGAGGGAAAATACAATAGTAACAAGGCAAATAACTGACAACAACTAAAGGAAAATGAATACAAATGCAAACACATGTATCTGAAGTGACCAAAATGTCTTCAGTAAACATGTCCTAAATATTTGCATTTGTGTTAATTTACCACAGGTCATAGAGTGCCTGGGAAATGAAAGCTTACCAAAAAAGGAGACAATATCTAAAATTCCTTGGATCAAGAGCCCTTCACCAGCAAGACACTTCTTTCCCATTAAGGGACTGGGATGAAAAATATGAAGTAGATGGCTTGCTACTGCTTCCTCCCAACTAATTTTAGAGTGGCTGTCCTCTTAACTATAAAGATATGTATTAAAATGAAGCCACAATTAGCCAACACCATTCAGAAATGTTGGATAAAATGACAGGCACATTTTTTTAAATCATCTGAGGGGAAAAGTATTGAAAAATGGGAATAAAATGATCATCCACAAATTTTAATTTATTTTTAATGCAACTGATCATCTCCCATCAAGATTGAGTGACACCCCTCCCACCCCTACAAAAAAAAAAATTAATGCATTCACCATCATTCATTCAACTGCTGTCTTGTCAGAAGTGTGCTGACATCACAGTTAAAACTGTTCTCCAAATTGCAACATCCTTGCCCAACATTTATGATTGAAGTCCAGCTAATTTGTACATTATTATTAACAAAATTTTCATTTTACTGAAAGTGTGCAGTGACTGACAAACTGTTTCATCCAAGATGCCTTCGTCTTATTTCATTTCAGATCAACAAATGTAATTTGATGACATTAGAAATACATGTACAGTAATCTTTCAATAACTGCATAGTATAACAAAAACAATAAAGCTATGGGATTAATGTGGTTAAGTTTTTATTCATATTTCCTATGATATTTGCACTTGACTTTATAGGGAAGTGGAGCAGAATTCTTCCTCCATAAGCCATGCTGTACATATTACTAAATTTAAAAAGAGAAACTTTTGTTTTCCCTTTTGGGACACCCTACCTCGGTGGGATACAACAGGTTTGTTAAAAGAAGATTTGCACTTGCAGAGGCATCATTCTGCAATTCTTTAACATCTCAAACAAAAAACTGGGCAGTAGTAATCTTCACTGGAAAGGATTTGGTCAAGGTTTCCAACAAAGAATGGTAGTGGTGGTGGTGGTGGTAGTAGTAGTAATATGAGTGCAACAGTGGCACAGGTAGCAATAAGAAGGGAGTAGTGGTGGTGACATAAGAGCCACAGTAGAGGAGGTAGTCTAAGGACAAGGGAAAAAGAAAAACAAGCACTGCTAATACTATAACACTTGCAATGAGACCATCCATCAACATCTTCAAAATAAAGAGAGACCATTATATATATATATTTTTTTTTTTCAACAATCTGGCCGTATCCCACCAAGGCAGGGTTTTACCTGGAGTTTACCTGGAGAGAGTTCGGTGGCCCAAAAAGAAAAACTAAAGTTTCTCTTTTTAAATTTAGTAATATATACAGGAGAAGGGGTTACTAGCCCCTTGCTCCCGGCATTTTAGTCGCCTCTTACAACACGCATGGCTTACGGAGGAAGAATTCTGTTCCACTTCCCCATGGAGATTAGAGGAAATAAACAAGAACAAGAACTAAAAAGAAAATAGAAGAAAACCCAGAGGGGTGTGTATATATACGCTTGTACATGTATGTGTAGTGTGGCCTAAGTTTAAGTAGAAGTAGCAAGACGTACCTGAAATCCTGCATGTTTATGAGACAAAAAAGACACCAGTAATCCTACCATAATGTAAAACAATTACAGGCTTTCGTTTCACAATCACTTGGTAAGATGGTAGTACCTCCCTGGGCGGTTGCTGTCTACCAACCTACTACCTAGAATACATATACAGTGGACCCTCGCCTAACGATATTAATCCGTTCCTGAGAGCTCAACGTTAGGTGAAATTATCGTTAGCCGAATTAATTTTTCCCCATGAGAAATAATGGAAATCAAATTAATCTGTTCCTGACACCCCAAAGTATGAAAAAAAAAAATTTCACCACATGAAATATTAATTTTAATACACACAAACTGAAGAAGACATGCACAGTTACATGACACTTACCTTTATTGAAGATCTGGTGATGATTGATGGGATGGGAGGAGGGGAGTGTGTGGATAGTGTTAATGTTTAGAAGGGGAATCCCCTTCCATTAGGACTTGAGGTGGCAAGTCCTTTTCTGGGCTTACTTCCCTTCTTCTTTTAATGCCACTAGGACCAGCTTGAGAGTCACTGGACCTCTGTTGCACAACATATCTGTCTATAGAGGCCTGTACCTCCTGTTCCTTTCTGACATTCCTAAAGTGTTTCACAACACTGTCAGTGTAATAGTCACCAGCACGGCTTGCAATAGCTGTGTCAGGGTGATTTTCATCAAAAAAGGTTTGCACTTTAAGCCACATTGCACACATTTCCTTAATCTTTGAAGTAGACAACTTCTTCAATTTCTCTATCCCCTCCTCCGGAGCAGTTTCCTCAGGTCTGGCCTCATGCTGTTGAAGATGACCTAGCAGCTCATCAGTGGTTAGTTCGTCATTGTCCTCCTCCACCAACTCTTCCACATCCTCCCCACTAACCTCCAACCCCAAGGACTTCCCCAATGCCACAATGGATTCCTCAACTGGCATAGGATTCTCAGGGTTAGCCTCAAACCCTTCAAAATCCCTATTGTCTACACATTCTGGCCACACTCTTCCAAGCAGAGTTCAAGGTCCTCTTAGTCACTTCCTCCAAAGCCTTACCTATAATGTTTACACAATTGAGGATGCTAAAGTGATCTCTCCAAAACTCTCTTAGAGTCAATTGAGTTTCTGAGGTCACTACAAAGCACCTTTCAAACATAGCTTTTGTGTACAGTTTTTCGAAGTTTGCAATGACCTGCTGGTCCATGGGCTGCAGGAGAGGAGTGGTATTAGGAGGCAAAAACTTGACCTTAATGAAGCTCATGTCCCCACAAAGTCACTCTGCCACATCTGAAGGATGACCAGGAGCATTGTCTAATACCAGAAGGCACTTAAGGTCCAATTTATTTTCCAGGAGGTAATTTTTCACAGTGGGGGGAAATGCATGGTGTAGCCAGCCATAGAAAAAGTCCCTAGTGACCCATGCCTTACTGTTTGCCCTCCACAGCACACACAAATTAGCCTTGAGGACATTGTTTTTCCTGAACACTCTGGGAGTTTTAGAGTGATACACCAATAAAAGGCTTCACTTTGCAATCACCACTAACATTAGCACACACAACAGAGTAACCCTGTCTTTCATATGCTTATGTCCTGGGAGTGCCTTTTCCTCCTGAGTAATGTAGGTCCTCCTTGGCATTTTCTTCCAAAACAGGCCTGTTTCGTCACTTAAACACTTGTTCAGGTTTCAGTCCTTCACTGTCTATGTACTCCTTGAATTCCTGCACATATTTTTCAGCAACTTTGTGGTCCGAACTGGCAGCCTCACCATGCATTATCACACTATGTATGCCACTACGATTCTTAAATCTCTTAAACCAACCTTTGCTAGCCTTAAATTCACTCACATCACCACTAGTTGCAGGCATTTTTCTAATTAAATCCTCATGCAACTTCCTAGCCTTTTCACATATGATCGCTTGAGAGATGCTATCTCCTGCTATCTGTTTTTCGTTTATCCACACCAATAACAGTCTCTCAACATCTTCTATCACTTGCGATCTCTGTTTCAAAAACAAAGTTGCACCTTTGGCAAGAACAGCTTCCTTGATTGCTGTTTTCTTGGCCACAATAGTAAGAACATAAGAACATAAGAATGAACAAACACTGCAGAAGGCCTACTGGCCCATACGAGGCAGGTCCTTATCAAAACGACATCTACCTAAAGCTACTCAAGAAATAACTCCCGTACTCCTTAACACCAATCAAACCCAGCCCCTCCCACTCATATATCTGTCCAGTCCCCCCTCAAAGCCACCCAAGGTCCTAGCCTCTATCACCCCACTGGGAAGACTGTTCCACGCATCTACAACTCTGTTAGAAAACCAGTACTTACCTATGTCCTTTCTAAATCTAAATTTATCCAACTTAAATCCAACTTAAGTAGCGATGGTTGATTGGGGTTTTGTGTACAGCCTGGCCAGCTCGGAGACACACACTCCACTTTCATACTTAGCAATGATCTCTTTCTTCATATCCAAAGTAATTCTCACCCTTTTTCCTGTAGGGTTGGCACTAGAAGCTTCCTTGGGGCCCATGTTGACTTATTTTGCAGGTACAATCACTAAAAAGGCTGTGATAATATGAAATTTTCCAATTGCATGCTTGGAAGCGACCGCAGTGGCTGGCTTGTAAACACTGGCACCCACAGAACAAGTGAGGCGGGCTCAGGCTGCATGTGGATGCGCCTCGAACGAATCGCGTTGAGCGAGTTTTTTAGCACTAGCCGAGGCAAAATTTTTGTGTTAAAATGTATCGCTAGGCGGATTTAATGTTATGCGATGCGTCCGTTAGGCGAGGGTCCACTGTATATATATATATATATTTTTTTTTTTAACAAGTAGGCCGTCTCCCACTGAGGCAAGGTGACCCAAAAAAAAAGAAAATATCCAAAAAGAAAATACTTTCATCATCATTCAACACTTTCACCTCACTCACACATAATCACTGTTTTTGCAGAGGTGCTCAGAACACAACAGTTTAGAAGCATGTACCTATAAAGATACACAACATATCCTTCCAAACGGATATATATATATATCTTTCTTTCTTTCAACACACCGGCTGTATCCCACCGAGGCGGGGTGGCCCAAAAGGAAAAACGAAAGTTTCTCCTTTTACATTTAGTAATATATACAGGAGAAGAGGTTACTAGCCTCTTGCTCCCGGCATTTTAGTCGCCTCTTACAACACGCATGGCTTACAGAGGAAGAATTCTGTTCCACTTCCCCATGGAGATAAGAGGAAATAAACAAGATTAAGAACTAGAAAGAAAATAGAAGAAAACCCAGAGGGGTGTGTGTATATATGTGCTTGTACATGTATGTGTAGTGTGACCTAAGTGTAAGTAGAAGTAGCTAGACATACCTGAAATCTTGCACGTTCATGAGACAGAAAAAAGGACACCAGCAATCTTGCCATCATGTAAAACAATTACAGGCTTTCGTTTTACACTCACTTGGCAGGACGGTAGTACCTCCCTGGGCGGTTGATATACATACATATATATATATATATTTTTTTTTAACAAGTCGGCCGTCTCCCACTGAGGCAGGGTGACCCAAAAAGAAAGAAAATCACCAAAAAGAAAATACTTTCATCATACAACACTTTCACCTCACTCACACAGAGGTGCCCAGAATACAACAGTTTAGAAGTGTATACGTATAAAAATACACAATACATGTATATCCCTCCAAACTGCCAGTATTCCAAACCCCTCCTTTAGAGTGCAGGCATTGTACTTCCCATTTCCAGGACTCAAGTCCAGCTATATAAAATAACCGGTTTCCCTGAATCCCTTCACTAAATATTACCCTGTTCACACTCCAACAGCTCATCAGGTCCCAAATACCATTCGTCTCCATTCACTCCTATCTAACACGCTCATGCACGCTTGCTGGAAGTGATGAAAGTATTTTCTTTTTGGGGATTTTCTTTTTTTTTTGGGTCACCCTGCCTTGGTGGGAGATGGCCGACTTGTTGGGAAAAAAAAAAAATATACTATATATAAATTAATTGATGGTAGGATTGCTGGTGTCTTTTTTCTGTCTCATAAACATGCAAGATTTCAGGTACGTCTTGTTACTTCTACTTATACGTAGGTCACACTACATACATGTACAAGCATATATATACACACCCCTCTGGGTTTTCTTCTATTTTCTTTCTAGTTCTTGTTCTTGTTTATTTCCTCTTATCTCCATGGGGAAGTGGAACAGAATTATTCCTCCGTAAGCCATGCGTGTTGTAAGAGGCGACTAAAATGCCGGGAGCATGGGGCTAGTAACCCCTTCTCCTATATAAATTACTAAATTTAAAAAGAGAAACTATAGGTAGTAGGTTGGTAGACAGCAACCACCCAGGGAGGTACTACCGTCCTGCCAAGTGAGTGTAAAACGAAAGCCTGTAATTGTTTTACATGATGGTAGGATTGCTGGTGTCCTTTTTTCTGTCTCATAAACATGCAAGATTTCAGGTACATCTTGCTACTTCTACTTACACTTAGGTCACACTACACATACATGTACAAGCACATATATACACACCCCTCTGGGTTTTCTTCTATTTTCTTTCTAGTTCTTATTCTTGTTTATTTCCTCTTATCTCCATGGGGAAGTGGAACAGAATTCTTCCTCTGTAAGCCATGCGTGTTGTAAGAGGCAACTAAAATGCCAGGAGCAACGGGCTAGTAACCTCTTCTCCTGTATATATTACTAAATGTAAAAGGAGAAACTTTCGTTTTTCCTTTTGGGCTACCCCGCCTTGGTGGGATACGGCCGATGTGTTGAAAGAAAGAAAGAATCTAGAGGTCTGTGCATAACCTAAATTTAGAACCTCAATGTCTTCAGTCATTCAGGTGAGACAGTGAAGGAATTCGTAATGTCAGAGTTTGCATAGTAATGTTTACCAGACGCATGTTCATTGGGGTATATTTAAAC